TTTGTATATGGTCGCTTTCACTATTTGCTACAATACATCATCAGCATAAATTATACATCAGGAAATGTTACCCTGTAGTGTTGCTGTTATTTGATCCAAAATTAATGACAATAAATAAGGACTAACACCAAGCATTAGTGTAATCCTAATTTCACATGAAATTTCTCCCACACCTGTCCTAAGTTGTGTGTAAGTATGACAAGGATGTGTCAAATAGTTTTAGAGTACTGTGTACCAATAGTTTGTAAATTTTTAAATAGAACACCCTGTAACTCAGTAATTATTTTAGCCACATTTTATTTAAGTGATTTGGGTTAAATCTTAATATTTTAAGCCAACGAATCTACGTTAAAATATTTCCAGTTATTAATACAACACCTTGTATATTGCAAACCATCTACTTGCTTGTTTTTTTACAACAAATTTGACCACCTTGTAAACATCTGGTAAAAGAAAGAACAATTAGTCAAACATTGGTATGCTACCAATTTGCGTAAGATAAAAAAACCAGTTTGCCATCTACTCACCAAGGTTGGCTGCATCTGCTTCAAGCTTTAAATTTTTTAAATCCAAGATTTTAAAAACAATGTATAGTCCGTAACCTTCACCTCAGCGAAAAATCTTTGTTTACTTCGTTGTGGTAATTATATGATTGTCACATGAAATAGTTTTCTCACTGTACCGGGATTTTTTATATCGAAGTTAAATTTCGTATAATTAGGTGGTAAATTATCTTAAAATGCTTACGTAAACATTTTAAGTATATTTATGTTTTGTAAATAATATATAAATGTAATTCCCACCAGAAGAAAATATTTGGATCGATAAGAATATTGACGGGTTTGTTATCAATCGTATTAATTTCGGAAGAATCATTTTTGATTTTTGAATGTCTTATCATTTCTGATGAGGCAAAAACTCCAGCCAAAACTACTAACTTACGGATATTTCTCTAGAGCACTTCGCCAACGAGGAAAGTTTTTACAAATGATCCGAATTTTGAGTTTGTTCTTAGTTACAGTTTACATTGCCTTGGTCTTGATATTCAAATTTTTTTGAGTACATGTTGTAAGATCATCATCATCGGGGAAATTAAAATAATATGTCATGCAGATGACGCAGTCAATACTGATACTGATTTATAGCTACACACAATCTCTGGATCATTTCCTTGTTATAACTAGAGTTTATTATTTTAGATTTTTTCATGGTTTTGGGACTTTTCATCCGTTGTACTTTGTATTTTATTTCATTAGTTCATATATTTTCTTCACTTGTAACCCGTTTTATACCATTGTGATGACATTTATTAGTGAATATTGTTACTTGGCGGTTTTCTGGTAGTTTTTGGGTCCTTACATTGGTCCTGAATGTTTTCACTTATCAGTTGTATGAATACTTGATTTGCTCTAACCTTGCGAGGTGAATTATTTATCTTTAAGTCATAACTAATTTTTTTAGAAATTTTTCATGATATGATTTTATTATGCCATGCCAATATTTCCAGACTTTACATTAAGTTTTCCTTTATAGATTGGCTCAGTTATTGAAGCAGAATTACTACCCAGTATAATGATTTTTTTTAGCTAAAATGCTCAACTTCGTATTTTGTCATAAGTTCTTTTGATTCGCTAAGTATTCTAGGAGATTATTGTTTTCTGCACTCCCTTGGGATAACCTTTATAAGTATTTGTTGTATTTTGTATTTCGTGCACAACAAAATGTTCATACTTCGACAAATTTTTGGTCTATATTCAAGATATAGTATCTCAGAATCTAGCATGATTTTTTATTTTCTTAAAGGTAAATTTCATGAATTGGGGACCTATGGAATAGCACAAACAGCAATGGATCGAAATTCTCTTAGAATTGGAAGCAAAATTAGAATATTTCCTTAGAAGGAAAATACTAAAAATATGACAATATAGGTTTGGCCAATAAAAATAAAATGGTGACCAGCAGATCCAAATACGATGATAAGAGGTAGAAACGGGGAGTCCTGGAGTGCAGACCAATCGAGACAAAAAAGAAACACATGGAAATTGCAAAGGAAATGATAATGATTAAGACATAAGGGTAGTTGCAGACAAACAGTAAAAGAGATTAACGCAAGGCAGAAAAAGGTTAAAACAACTGATGACCTACATCAACGAGTTTATCTATAAAAGGATAAATAAAAAAGATAAAAAATAAAAGAAAAAAAAAATCTTATTATTAGATAGATGTTTGAACCAATTGGTCTATTCTGAGTAATTTATGGGACATGTTGTGTCCCATAAATCCCATAAGAAGTCCCATAATCAAACATTAACTATAAAATAAGTTTGTATTTTGTTTTGTTTTTTAAATCTATATACAGTTAAACAGAAAGCGCCAAAGAAAAACATCTACAATCCCGAACATAGCAGTAAAAGTTACTGAAACTATTAAAATAGCTTCTTGTAAAAATCTATAAATGGTAAAACAAAGTTGAAAATACACAGCTGAAACAAGATCAAAAACTAACTTAACAAGAAGAAACTTAGAAACAAGTGAAATGAGAATCCTAAGAAGATTAATATAACATCCGGAATGTGAGGATGTATGTAAGTTAATTGATTAATTAAGGGGCTGAGTGATGCACAGAAGTTAGCTTGTGTAAGATCAAATGAAACGTATGAAAGAAAATAACCATACTGGTGGAACCAGCAGCTTGAAAATCTGAGGACAACCTGCATGAGAGTAATACAGGAATGAGATAAGAAGATCTAAGAACGAAAGGTGGAGTAACCTGCTTTAGGATATCGAAAAGGATATCTGGAGGCAGGGCTTCAAGATTGTCTGTACCGAATTGTACGGGAAAAAGACACCCTACCCCTGCCTGAGGAGAAGAAACTCCGTTTAATACGAAAACTATTTCATCAGGTGGAGGGTAGGCGTGAAAGGGTTATTGGTTTCATAGATGCGAAATTTTTCACTGATTTGGAACTCGGCGAGGCTGTTGGACGGATGAAGATTCGAAAAGCACCTGGCCTGGATAGAGTCATGCCGGAGTCAGTAAGACTCGCCGCACTAAAATCCTCGCAGGTTTTTTTGATATTGCCAAACAAACTGCTTGAACAACAGCAGTTTCTAACAATGTTGAAAGAAGCTAAGGTTGTGATTGTACCGAAAGGTAGAGGTGAAGAGGAAGAGGTACGATTTTATAGTTTTAGGGCCAAAAGATCCAGCATAGATACGGTCACAGAAGTAACCTCTTTAGTCACGCAAAATGCAAAGAGATGGGTGACTCTCATCCTGCTCGACGTCAAGAATGCCTTTAATACGGCATCATGGGAAAAAATCCTGTCCAGGCTGAGGGAATTGGACGGTAGTCAGTACCGGGTCAACGTAATTGGCAGATATTTTACTGTTGGGTCCATAAGAAAAAAAGATACCAGCATCAGTTTGTCGCAGGATATTTTGCAGGGTTCAGTACTAGGTCCCATCCTGTGGAATGTCCTGTATGACGGGGTGCGAAGGCTATATATGCCAAGGGGATGCACTCTTCTAGCTTATGCCGATGATCTCACACTGGTTGCGAAGTCGAGTCAAAAAACGGACATGGCTAATGCGACCCTGCGTCGCATTAGTAGGTGGATCAGAGAGAATGATCTACAGCTAGCGCCACAGAAAACTGAGGTGTTAGTTCCCAAAGATAGAAATCTTTCAGGAAAAATCCTCTCTTCGCTTTATAGTGTAAGGTGTGGAATTTGCACCAATAAAATCAATTAAGTTGATTCGGCTGATATCAAACATTGGAGGTCCAGCAAGCACCAAAAGAAAGATGCTAAATGGAGTTTTCCAGTCAGTGGTAACCTACGCTGCCCCTGTGTGGTGTAGTATACTAAACACTGCAAAATACGCTAAGCTAATGAAGACTTCGCAAAGTCGAATGCTCCTCGGATATCTAGCGCATATAGGACAGTTTCAAATGAGGCTCTATATGTCATTAGAGCGGTGATACCGATCGTTTTGTTGTCTCGAGGAGGGTGATGCGAAGAGAAATCGAGGGTGTATGCGAAGAGGATAGATATAAATGGATATGAGAATGATAGAGAAAGAATGATAGTAGACTGGAACAGAGAATGGGCAAATGATAGTGGAAAAGCAAGGTGGACGAAGGAGCTTATTCCCGATCTGAGATTGTGGTGAGAATGTAAGCTCAGGAAACTAGACTACTTCCTGACACAGTTTGTGACCAGACATGGTAGTTTTGACACCTTCACAAATAGAATAGGCAAATCTGTCCCGGCAGACTGTACTGTTTGTGGGGTACCGGATGCTTCCGCCCACATTTTTAACTGCCAGACATGAGCAAATGAGATGGGAGATTTCAATAGGCGAATGGGTTTCGGGCTTAATGAAATTAACATTGTAAACATAATGTTGAGAGGAAAGAAAAAATGGAGAGAAGTACACTGTCTGATTTCTGTGGCGATGAAGAAAAAAAAGCAGCAGGGCAGAAAAGGAAATTGAGCCAGGAATCTGAAATTTATAGTTAATATTATTTATTAGTTTATGGCCTAATGTCTAAACACTTTCTGATTTACGGTAGTAGGTATGGTTATTTATAAATTTTTAGTTTTTGATTTTAGTTGTTTATTGAGTGGCAAGACCACCTCTCTGCAACGCTGGTTAAGGTTTTAGCTAGAACATGGTTAATCCAGCACTACCCTGGGGACCCTGTCCAAAAAAGATTTCCTCCACCGTTGCCTGTCAAAATTAAATGGTTACCTTCTTAGGCTCTTACTGAAATCTGTCAATACGGCAATTAAAAAAAAAAGGTTAATAAAAATGACACTGATGGATCGATCAAATAATAATATAAGAAATACGTGCAAGATAAACAACCTACATCAATACTTGCAAAATTAAAAGAAAGTGTGAAAATAGTCACTAGACGTAAAAAAGAATATATACTAATAGATATATAAAATTATCTTCAGCGTTGTTTTGCTTTAAAAAAGGTATATACGTACCTAAATCAGGTATATACGCATAGGCATCATCACAAGTGTCTTTAGTTACATCTACAGTTAGACTAGCTAATCCACTAGTTGGCCGTATTTGGTCATCAGGGATGCGGAATGACCGAATTATTTTATCAGTAGTTAAATCCATTATTACTAAAGTGGTAGGCCGTACGCGACTGACATTTCCTGAAAAACATAAAATATATTACTTTTTGTAAAAAGCCTAAGAGTAAGGTACGAAAAACCCGTAAACAAATGAATTAATTGAAAAAAAAATCGTTAAATATTTAGCTTTTACAGCTCTCTAAATTTATGTTAGTGTGTAGACTTACCAAGAACTTCAACCAGTCCAGTATCTACAAACCACAACCTATCACAGGGATCCACTGCTACTCTGTAGACTGACACAAAATTATCACCGCTGTTTTTAGGATCGGGATATATATTTGTGTCCCAATCTGGGTAGGGAATTAGCGGAACGTTGTGTCTACTTGGACTATCCAATGGCACATAGTTTAATGTAGATGGCACTCCTAGTCGTCTTCTAGGAACTGTGATGAAAAGTTTGTTTCTCCATACGTTGGCACCCATAGGAATGTTCGTCACTGTAAGTAATAAAATCAGACATTACAGAAACTTAAAATGACTTTATTATAATATTTAAAGATACGTTACGCTACATTTTGATTTACCGTTCGGAAGCTATTTTTGTGGCATTTATGCGGAGTTATATATATTGCTAAGAGACACAAGCTAATATAGCAGGGCTGCATACTAAAACTGATTTTTTGACAATTTACTATTGAAAAGAATGAAAGAAACTTTCTTTTTTTATTAAGTTAACAAGCAAAAAACAAAAAGCTTTTCATCCTTGCAGAATCAAAAAACACAATATGTGCTAACGACACATATAATGTCAACACGTACGAGGCATGCCTGACGTCGACCACGTAAGTTTCTTTCATTCTTTTTAGTAGTAAATGATCAAAATAGGTTTAAACTTTCTATTAGTGTGCAGCTTTTGAAAAAATATGCATCATATAAAACTTATGAGTACTACAAATTTAAATTAATATAAGGTTGAATGCTCGAATAAATCAACTTTGATAATATAGAAGGCAAATATCAAGCACAGTACTAATTTAATTTTGTCCAAGTACTTTTGACCACTAGATCATCTTCAGGAGCATCTGAAATATGCCAAGAAACGTTTTTTTAACTAAAGAAATTAATTAACTTCGATAAAAACTCAAAGTTTATGGTTGATAAAAGTTTATATATAATTAACGTTTATAGACTTACTTCGTCAATTGCAGCCTATCCGACAAGAGTAGAATGTCATAAATATAAAATGGAACATCACAATATACTACACAAAGACAAACAAACACTTTAAAATTTTTGAAGATAGGTGAAGCTACATGGTGTATAGAAGCCGGAGACAGAATGGCTCACGGTCTAGCGGAAATGTTGAGATGACATGTGACAAATGACAGCTTGGAAAGGGCAGTTACAATTATAGATATGTGATCTGCACCTTATAAAAATTCTATGAAACTAAGTATTGACCAAAGGTTCAACTGACACCACTATAGGAAAACAACTAATGAAATATAAAATTATATAGAAATGGGAAAAATCTATAGACGATTGGGAACCCATAAACGAGAAAATTGCTAAACTGAAAATCAAGATGTATGGCAGAGAAATTATAATACCAGCAATATACGGTCCAACGGAAGACAGTTCAGCCAATGAGAAAGAACGATTTATCGAACAACTTCAGGAACAAATGGATAAGAGAAAACCTAAACAAGAAATGATAATAGTTGGGAGAAAGATTGATAGAACTATGTGAAGTAAATGATTTGAAAATTATGAACGGATTCTACAAACACAAAAATATACATAAGTACACATGGACTCAAGAGACAAGAAAACTAAGATCCATTATTAACTACATTATCATGAACCACAAAAGCTGAATCAAAGTGAAAGACACCAGAGTGAAAAGAGGAGCAGAGTGTGGAACAGATCACAAACTTGTTTTGGCATGGATGGTATTCCCCTATATCTGGACAAAACAAAAACATACATCGATTTTTACAACGGGAACGACAATAAACGAAAAGACGCTCGAATTACATCTAGTACAGGAAGAATCAATAAAAGATCTATACAAAAGAAGACTAGACCAAAAACTAGAAGAATTCAGATATGACACGTTAGATGAAATGCATGAACACATAAAAACCTGCCTGATTTCAGCGGCCTTAGAAGCTCTTGGAGAAGACGACCAAAGGAACACCCATCAGAATATCAAATTAAGGGAAAACACATTGAAATGTATAAAAAAAAAGAAAAAACTACACATAAAATACCTAAACACAAAAAAACAGGAAGACTTAGATCTATATAGAGCGAAAAACAGAGAGGTAAAGAAAAGAGTAACAAATGAAAAGAACGGACGATGGGAACAAGCATGCGCAGAGATAGAACGACATATCGGAGGAACGAGAAATTCAGAATCATAGCGAATAATAAAAGCACTCCAACCAAATAAGACAGAGAAAACCCAGATCGGCAAAATTAGTGAAAACGAGTGGCAAGAATACTACGTAGAACTACTTACAGAAAACCGTCCCCAATTTCAGGAAGAGAATACAGAACATGCAGGAAATGGGACATACGACCAGATAGAAATAAGTCTGACAGAAGTCAAGAGAGCAATCAACACATTCAAGAACAAAAAAGCCGAAGGGCCCGGAGAGATACCAAACGAACTAATTAAAAACGGAACGGAAAAGTTATTCCGCATGCTACACAGAATGTTCTACAGAGGACTAAATGGAGAGGTAATACCTGCGGAATGGACACAAGCATATATCACATCCATACATAAGAAAGGAAACAGGAAAAAAATGTGAAAACTACAGAGACACTAGTATAATATCGTCGGTAGGTAGACTTTACTGGAAAATTATCAAGGAAAAACTAGAAACTGAAATAATAAGAAAAATTGGAGAAGACCAAGCAGGGTTCACAGTAGAAAAATCATGCCTAGATTATACGTACACATTAGAACAACTGATAGAGAAGAAAATGGCAAAAGGTAGACCGGTCCATCTGGCGTTTGTTGATCTAAAGAAAGAATCATGGAGTCAAATTATGGGAAGCAATGAATGATCTTGGAATCCGACAAACACTAATAAAAACAGTTAAAGCACTTTGCAAAGAAAACAAAGAAGCTATTAAATGTGGAAACAAAGCCTACAATGCATTTAAGACGACAAAAGGACTTCTACAAGGCTGTGCTACGTCCCCTACTCTGTTTAAAATATTCTTGGAAAAGACACTCAAACCATGGAGAAGAAAGTGCGAAGGAATGGGCATACCAGTAAGAGACGAATACCTATACACCTTAAGTTTTGCCGACGATCAAGTAGTCATCGCACAAGATGAAGAAGATCTCAACTTTATGCTCATAAAACTAGAAGATGAATATAAAAACAACGGAATGGAAATAAACTTAGAGAAAACCGAATACCTAACAACAGAAAACAAGGACATGAGAAACCTAGAGATACACGAGGGAAGACAAGTAAATAGAACAGATAAATTCAAGTATTTAGGAACCATAATATCGAACCAGGGAACAACAGAAGAAGATATAAACAACAGACTAAGACAAACAAGAAACTGTATAAGACAACTAAATTCAGTGCTGTGGGATAAGAACATTACGATAAAGACAAAAAAGAGAATATATAATACCCTGACAAGAAGAATTATGACATATGGGTCCGAAAACTGGACAATAAACCAGAGAAATGAAGGTAGAATAAGAGCAGTAGAAATGGAGTTCCTGAGGAGAAGCTGTAGACTTATAAAAAGAGACAGAATTGAAAACGCAGAGATTAAGCGGAGAATGGGAGTGCAATCAGACATAATCGACTATATAGGGGAGAAGAGACTATCCTTGTACGGCCACGTCAAAAGAGCGGACAGAGGACGCTGGATAAACAAAATTACAGAATGGAGCCCGATCAGAAGGAGAAAGAGAGGAAGACCCCGAAGGTCATTCAGAGACGAAATCGACGAGGCTATGGAGAAAAGAACCCTGCGAGACGGAGACTGGAATGACAGGGAAAATTGGAGAAAACGGTTGAGTGAAGGAAGGCAGTGAAAACTGTGGAAATCCTTAGTAATAGTAGTAAGATTGTTATAAATATAATAATCTTTGTAAAAAACAATTTTTGACAATCGTTTGTCATGCTTTTGATTTTGTAATATCTAGTTTACATGAATCCTTGATACAAACAAACCAATCCATTGATACACTTTATAACCTTTTGAACCAAAAAAATATTTTGTTATTGCAATAATAATAAAAATATTTTAGTGTATTGATTAAATTCGAGTTACAGAACCATAACTTATGTAATAAAAATTTTAAGTGTTCGCAAAATAATCTCAAGGGTCTGTGTGGGTGATTTACTATTCAATTTTGAGTACAAGTTTCTATAAATGTGTGTGGTAAATTTTTTTCGTTATTGCTATACAGTGGGTTCAAAGTTTACAATCTAAAATAAAAATGAATTCTACGTCAACAAACTCATGAATACAGTCAAAACTATGACAACCCTAGTAGTAGGATTTTCCTAATATAAATAGAGACTTTTGTTGAAACATTGGTTTATTAGTTTGTTATATTTATTAAACCAAATTTAGAAAAAATTTCACAAGAGGTTTTGATCTATCCTCTTAGCAAAAATTATCATTGATACCCTCACACCAATTTCGTATTGTTGAAACTGTATTGAAAATTGTATTATTGTTCTGAAGCTATTTTCTTGTGGCATTTTAAATTAATTACTATTTAACTGGGAATAATCCACAATTAAAGATAAAAATACGTTTATTGACGTTTCAATTTCCACTTCGGAAATCGTTTTCAAAATACAAACAGTTAATTAAACAAATTTTGTTTTTTGTTACATAGTGAAAAATTCTTCTAATAATTTAATTTTATCTGACTCATTTATATTGACAATTCAGACATACATAATGCATTTTAAAATAGACGACTTTAAAATGATATTGCCAATATTGTTGAGTTGCGCTCCTGGGACGACTTTACTTATAAGATAGTTCATTCGATTACACGAAATCAACTTTAACTTGAGTTGATATGATGTCCGTCAGAAAAAAATCATAGCATGTAATTCGTCATTAAAAAGACAAACACATGACATGATGACAATAAAATTCTCCTGTTAGTGATTTCATAGTAAATTATGAGGGAAAAACCAGGAAAAAAACCTCATCATACTATCCCGACATTGTAAGTATTTGTTCGTGAATTTAGTTTGCCTTCAATAAACATCAAAATTTTGATTTTATATGTTACGTTATTTAAAAAACATAAATGATGAATCTTCTATATGTTACTGATTTACTAATACTGGTATTTTCTTATTAATAACTTCCTCTTTCAATATTGGTAACCAGATCCTACTACATCCTGCCGAGGAATTTGCGACACAATTGGCCTCATTTAGCATAATTAGAGCCGCTTCTTTTATTTTTCTTTTTTTACCATCAG